CTAGCTCGGCCCAGCTTTCCTTTTCTTCTCTTCCTTCTCCCCCCCGACGCCAGTCCTCCTCCTCTGTTATGCCCTGCGTCTGGCCGTCAATCGGCGGACGGCCGAGCGGCCTCGGCGTCCCCATCCAAGTAGGTAAGGAGCAGCAGGGGGAGGGTATTGATGGCCAGTCCCATCTCTCCCCCTTTCCCGGTCTCTCTCTTTCTCCTCTTCCCCTCTGCGGCCATGGAAGTCAAGGGGCAGAGGTACACGTTTTTCCTCCCCTGCATCGCCCTAGATGGCCACCGAAGTCGTGGCGCAGAGCAGGCCAGCGTAGGGCCATTAAGGCCGCGACTTCTGAGCCGGGGCAGGTGGCCAACGTCGCCTATAAAGGCCGGAGAAAAGAGAGAGAGACGCGGGTCTTTCTCGGGCAAAAAAAATAGAGCATCGGAACCGAGAGAGAAATAGAGAGAAGGAGAGCAAATTGAGAGTTTCAGGTCGTTGAGGAGCAGTAGCAGCCTCGCTGTGGCCAACAGGAAGGCCAAAGATCCCTTAGAGAGCGGCACATACCGGTGAGCTCTCTCGGCCTCGGCACCCCCTATTTCACCCCCTGTTTTTTGGCACGGTTTGGCCGGGACTTGCGCCGGCCATTTCACGAGAATCCCGGCCCATACCGTCTCTGGTCCCGATCCCCACTTGCTGTTGGGGACGAACCTCGGTCATCAGAGCCGACTAGGTCATCGGAGGAGGTCGAGATTCCTCGGTTTTTGTTACGCGGACCAACTATTTGATGAAATGCCTCAAAGAGGCTGGGTTTGTTTTTTGCTCGCCGGCTGGCGAGTGGTTAGTCAGACGGCGGGCCCGATCGTTGGAAAAGGTAGGTGAAGCTCATAAGGTGGAGACCCAGGCCATAGGTGGTCTGGATCGTCCGGTGAGACCGCCGAATCTTGCCGGCCGAGGCTCCCGCGTGTCCAAACACGTGGGAGCCGTCCCTGGACTGGACTGCAGTCCGGTTGGATCGGTCTGCAAGCCAAATAGGGCCGGTTCGACCGGGCCCCGATCGGGCCCGATCTGGTCCATACTCGGGTCAATGACCTGGGTTGACCCCCGACTTCGGGTCTAACCGACCCGGATCCGCCGACCCGACCCGGTTTTAATATTATATTATTATTTTATTTTAAAAAAAATTAAAAAAATTCGATTTTTTTTAAATTTGGGATATAATTCAGATATAAGTTTTGTCTAATAATTTTCTAAATTATGTGATATATTTGAATGTTTTAAATTGTTATTGTATTATTATTGTACATGTTGTTTTTAATTAAAATATAATTGCATAAATTGTCATATTTAAATCAGATAAATCTATAGGGCTATACGGTAGTATTTTGCATGTTATTTTTACTACTGTTATGTTATTATTATGCATGTTTTTAATTAGAATATAATTGCATAAATTGTTATGTTTTGAATGTTTTCGCCTTAGTTAAGGTTAGAACCCTAGACTGCATATCTATCTTGACTGCTAATCAATAATGATTGTGTACTCGCTTGATCACTTCGCATGTTAGGAGAAAGATCCTAAAATCAATCCGAATTGCCTGACAAATATTTTCTGAAATGAATAGGATAAAAAGGTACCGAAAGGGCATTAATTATTTAACTAGTGTAACCAAGTCCCCGAACTCATTTAATCTCTGGTTCGTAAAAGTAAGCAATTCTCCTATTGTCTTGCTTGGGTGTCTAGTCGACCCACCGCAAACCGATTAGTGGTGACTCCTAGATAAAAATCACATGCAGGTTAAAAACCTAAACCCTAAGTCTCGATATGATATGGGCTTGGGAGAGCCTGAGTTAAGTCTCGAACTTAGACTTAGCACGTACCAAGTGAGACCCTCATTTTTAAAAAAAATAAAAACTGGAGGTCGGTCGCGACAGACTAGCGACTCCGTTAGGGACTTGCATTTTTTTGAAAAAAAGTGGACTTAAGCCAAAAAAAAAAAATTTATCCTGTTCAAAAATATTTCTATTTGGCAGCGAGGATTCCAGGTATGGCCCTGACATTAGGGTGTTAAATGTTCTTACAGGTTTCAAATCATGATTGCTTACGAATTGTTAGGCATGCTTTAATGATTTAGCACTACACTGTTGCACACACAACCATGCCGTCGGACCTGGGCCGTGATAGGGCATTTTAGGATGGTGTTAAGAAAGATACGACCTCGAATGTGAGCCCACGATTTAGAGGTTGCCTTTCTTTTGCCCGAAATTTCTTTCTAAAAAATCGTAAAGTGTCTATCTTTAGCCGCTATTCGCATGACTATAAGATATTCCTTTCGATTTGGCCGAGGTTAAAAGGACTTGACACCAACGCGAGACTGCGACGGTCAGGCACCCTTTTAATTTCACTTTGCTGAATCAGTCTAGATAGAAATCGAACCTCACTCCTCATGTGCATGTCTTTGTGATTGCCATAGTTCAAGGTAAGGTATATCTTCTATCTTTTCTTATTTCATTATGCAACCTACTTATTCCTTTGATTCGTGACTGTTAGGTTACCCATTGATTTCATTCTATATACGATGGGAAGAGATGATGTCCAATTCGTCCCCACTCCCAAGAGAGAGCTCTTGGCATAGTGGGACCGGCTTGATCAGAATGGCCAAGGATATGTCAAAGCAAGAATTGGTCGCCTACTTCCATTGCTCAAGATCAATGTCCATTCTGGCATGATGCAGGCACTGGCACATTTCTGGTTCCCTCAGACATCCACCTTTGTATTTGGTAAGTTTGAAATGACCCCAACTCTAGAAGAGTATAGTGTTGCCATCGGAATGCCTTTGGGATCTGAGCTCATCAAACCACTTTTGGGCGTTCCCCCTATACTCGAATTGTCTCAGTTTTTGCGAGTCGAGATCAATGCGGTGAAAAGGGTTATTAAAGTCCACTATAATTCATGCCCCTTGTTTTTCTCAAATGAATGTTTTGAAAATCAGCCCATGAGTTAGAAAAATAAAATCTTTCTCCTAGCTTTCATCGGGTTTGTTATTTTCCCTCATCGCAAAAATTCTATAAACCCCTCAATTGCATATGTGCCCAAACAAATTTGCATCGGTATGGGTTATGTTAATTCGGTTTTGGCAGAAACATTCTTGTCCCTTAACCGTTTTAAACAAAATGAGGAGAAAGTCATGCGAGCCGCCCCGGAAATTTTGCAAATTTGGTTTTTATCCCACTTAAGAGGATTCGGGCACCTCATGCAGCTTTTTAAAATTGATGGCTTTATGCATCCGATATAAAGATTTGAGGTCTTAAAAAGCAACTTCCCTAATAAGGATTACTCTTGCTGGATAAACTATTTAAAAAATCCCGATCCCGAAGCATTCTTATGGCACGCTAAATGATTCCATGAGGGTCAGGTTCGTTATGCTCACAGGTTTCACAACCCTGTTCCATTGCTCGGCTTATCTGGCGCCACTTTTTACTACCCCTACCAGGTAGCTCGCCAATACAGGGCCCTTCAGGAGATCCCACCACCTCTCAAGATAGACCTGTTTTGAGACTTGCTCAAACTATAACTACATCAGCGAAATTCGTGTCATCCAGAATGCATGGATCGAATGTGAGCCGGAGAATATCATTGTACATAGTAGACTGAACCATGCCTCTCTGTTCTATATTCTTCATCATCAAATCCCAGCAGCTCTATAGCCAAAGGTCCCAGATGTGGCTGAGTAGCTCAATCGTTAAGCACGGATCGATCATCTTGAAAGGACTGTGGGGATGAGGGATACGCTTATCATGGAACTTGCCCGTGAAAATAAGCGACTCTGAGAGACTGTGGCTTCAGTGTCCGGGAAAGACACCCTTTTTGTTAAAAGCCCCTGTTTTGTATAAATTCCTAGTATTTGTCTTTGGAGTTTTTGTTTTCTAGTATTCAATGTTTAGGGTTTATATTAATGTCAATATAAGTCGGACCACTTTTTGATATATAAATAAAAGAATTTGCGCTCTAATGACATCACTATGGCCTTAACCTAGTGGTATCCGGGTAATGAGCGGTCTGAGGCGACCGGGGTTCGAACCCTAGGGACGCCATTGTAATGAATATAATAAAAACCTTTTTGCTTCTCTTTTTATTTTTTTTATTTTTTTTTATTTTTTTGCAAATAAAGAAAATATGTGATAAATAATTATAATACTAGACTAAATCATGAACTAATTCTTTATTAGGCCTTATACTCATTCATTTCAACGTCTTCCCAGGTAATTACGAATTAAATGGCTGAAGAAAACGTGCCGATCCGTCTCAATAATATGGAAAACGAAATAAAGATGGTTTTCAATGCACTTGAAAATCTCACCAAGTAGATAGAATCTATCAATGGCAAGCTCACCCCTACCCCTGCAGCAATTGAGGTGATGTTACCGCCACCATCTATTGGAAAAGAAAAAGCCTCTACCAGCGACAGCAAGATGCCCCTGCTAGAGGACGATCCGCTTCCACTTGCCATCAAGAAGACTGAACCTGTAAACGCGCCTATGACAAAGCATGACAAGCGCCTCGTGAAGGTCGAGGAGATGTTGAAGCAATTACAGGGCCCACAATATGCTATCCCACTTGACCTGTCCGTGTACAAAAGGGTCAAGGTGCCAGAAAAATTCAAAATGTCAGAATTCGAAAAATATAATGGCACTTCGTGCCTCAGGCACCATTTGCACATGTATCATGTGCGAATGACCCAGTATGTCGATAATGAGCTTCTCATGATCCAGACCTTTCAAGCAAGCTTGATAGAGCTAGCTTTGACATGGTATATGTCGAAAGATGTAGATGCCTTCAAATCCTGGGATGATATCGCGGACGCATTCCTCAAACAGTATCAATTCAATCTCGACGTCACATTTTCTCGTGACGACCTCGAACGCACTGAGAAGAAGAAGAATGAGTCATTCAAAGAATATGTCACCCGATGGAGGAATTTGGCCGCCCAGGTCACCCAAAGCTTACTGACTACGAGCAAATGAAGCTGTTCATTAAGTTTCTTCCATATGAATACAGACATCGCCTGGTTGGTGTCACTGCTGAGTCCCTTAATCGACTTGTTCCAGTAGGCGAACGAATTGAGATGGGATTACACGATGGTTGGTTCACGGACCCTACCTCCACAACTAAGAGACTCAGCACAAGGAAGGAGAAGGAGCCCCTGATAGAGGGGAATATTGCATACACCCAGACCATTCATCCTCCCCCGATAGTTCAAGTAAGTGGTGAGCAGCAGCCGGCTTCAAGCCGCCAGCCCTTAAGGCAATATAAGAAAAGGCAATTCACTCCACTACCTGGATCCCTTTCCCAGGTCCTGACCATACTTCGCAAGAAAAATTTGTTGTCCACTGAGCCAAAGCGGCCAAACTCAGAGAGCTTCTCGAACTATGATCTGTCTAAGAAATGCGACTATCACATGGGCGAGGTAGGACATTCAACGAACGATTGCTATACCCTCAAGCACCGAGTACAGAATCTGCTGGACACCAAGGCCTTCTCGTTTCAGACGTCCAAGCTAGATGTCCAGAATAATCCGTTACCAGAGCATGAAAATAAAATTAATGCCATATTCAGTTTCGACGCTGGTCGAATCAAGAACGTAAGGGTATACACCACTGACGTTTATAAGGGTCTGGTGAAAGCAAGATACTATCCTGCCGACGAGGTACTGCCCTTGGCCCGGATGAAGGAAAGAGTTGCCAAAATGGCACAAGCAGGCCTGATTGCATATGTCGACCATACCGGCATAGTGGCCACTATCTCTCAGGTTATCATTAACTGGGATGAAGAACTTTCAGCATTGAATGCCGAAACCAGCGAATCCATCCCCACACTTGTGAGCGTGCCTTTAGCTAACAACCCAAATGACGAGGAGGAACTGACGATTGAAGTGCCCCAAACTGAGGAGCATATAGTGATCGAGATACTTCAGCCTTATCAGTATGAGAATGACAAGGCAATCCCATGGTCCTACGAACTGGATGTTGACCTAGTCACAAGGTTAGGGCGAACATATGCCCAAGCCGATGCGCAGCCTTTGACGCCTGTTACCGACGAAAAAGCCAAGGAATTTTTGGCCATCATCAAAGCCAATGAATACAACGTGGTGGATAAACTGTGCAAGTTACCCGCCCAGAATTCTTTGCTAGAACTACTTAAAACATTCTCGAAGCATTAAAAATCTCTTATGAAAGTGCTCAGCGAAGTAAACGTCCCCGAAACGATTGAGCATGATAAGCTAGAGGAATTCGTGGGATCTATCTTGTTGAAAGACCAAATAGCATTCTCGGACGATGAATTCCCTGCCAAGGGTAGAGAGCATACCAAGGGTCTCTACATCTCTGTTAAATGTAAAAACTCCCATGTGGCTCGAGTCTTGATCGATAATGGGTCTGCTTTGAATATTTGTCCGTTGGCAACCTTGCGCTGTCTCAATATAGACCCGTCTAAGCTCCGCGCCTCCAAAACATCCGTTCGAGCGTTTGACGGGATAAAAAAAGACACCGCTGGTGAGATCGAACTCGATGTCCAGATTGGCCCAATCGTGTTCAGCATTCTGTTTCAGGTAATGGATATCCCCACCGCGTTTAACTTTTTGCTAGGTCGTCCTTGGATTCACTCTGCTGGAGCCGTGCCTTTAAGCCTTCACCAAAGTGTGAAGTTTGTAACTCAAGGAAAGCTAGTCACAGTTCTCGGTGAAGAAGACCACCGAATTTATCAGGAAACTGCCATCCCATATGTCGAACCAAATGGCAAGGTGGAATCCAGTTATCAGTCTATCGAGCTCGTGTCAATCGTGCACAGATATCGAGGAGTTTCTCCTCCTGTCCCCAATATATCAAAAACCACAACATGGTAGGAAAGGTTATGGTAGGGAATGGCTTTGCCCCAGGTCAAGGACTCGACAGAGGAGGCTGGGGTATTATAGAACCTATTCAAGCCGCCAGGAACTAGCGTACCTCTGGTTTAGGATATTGCAGAGGAAACCCACAGGCCAATAAGGGGCGCGGGAGGGGTCGAGCTGGCTTGCTGTTTCCCCATATCCGGGAGACTTTCCCGCTACATGCTAGGTTGTTGCAGGATGAGGAAGATTGTATCAATGTCTCAGGACAATCCGGCGATAAGTTTGGGCATCCTGTTGAATGCTCAAGTTGCCATAGCACCTCAACACTTCCCGAGAATGTTGCTAGCGACCGACATCATAACCCAGACGAATTAGTGATTGAGAAAGATTGTGGACAAGAAGAAACGCTGGATAGCGTGGTCACCCTATTTGACGATATCTTCGTAGGTGCCATACACGAAGACTCGACCCCATAAACGAGTGTAAACCCAATTGATTGTTTGCACATTTGCAGTATCAGATGGGCGAACTACGAAATTTGCTCACATCCTTAATGGATATCATTGGCCAAATCCCGGACATGTCACTGCCGCCTTCCGATCAAGAAGAGTTGACCCAAGTGAATATTCCCGAAGAAAGCCCACCATCGGGAGTCTTTCCCGATGCAACATGGCAAGATATCCAACTTTTACAATGGCAGGGCGATGTGCGACAGTACTCACCAGTCCCTCAATCCGTGGACGTGATATTCCATGTCCTTCTGCAGAAGAAGATGGTCACAAGGGAGCCAAAACATGCTACTCCCGAGTACTTCGTCAATTATGATTCCACCATGTCCTGCGATTATCACTCAGGAGAAGTTGGTCACTCATTGAGTGATTACAACACCTTGAAAAACAGAGTACAAGACCTATTGGATGCCGGGGCATTTACTTTCCGTGCTCCCTGGTTGTGCTACGATAGGAACGACCTCTTAGTGGTGCCCAGTATTCGTGTCACCACTCCTGAATTTGCTGAGAGGGCATGTAAAGGGAAGGCAATCATAGATACTCTGAATGAGCTCAGTGGTGGGTATGACTTCTACATCAACTACCAAATATCGTCAAACTTTTTTGACGAGCAGCAAAATAGCATCGTGGATGGATGGGGTGGCATGGACCTGTTGACAGCAATGAGGGGAGGAGACAATGAACTGGACTCTTGGAACAATACTTTCGAAAGTTTCTTCGTCAACGCGATAGATGAAGGACCGATGAAAGGAATGGGTGTAAGCCCCACTTGAGTAGAATTCCTATAATCCTTTTGCATGAATCCCTGGAAAATGGGCTATCTTTGTATTTTGTTTTTTATCGTCATTTCTGTTAGAAGAAATGTCTTTTTGAACTCTCCCTCTCCTGAGGATTGTAAATCCATATGTTGTAAATAAATAATGTTTTGAGGACATGAGGTAGTATCCCAAACCGGCCCGTTGATGATATCCAGCCACGCAAAGGAAAGTATTCTGAGGCCCGGGCTACCTCATGCTTCCTCGTTTCTAAGCTTTTTGAAAATCAAAAGCATTTCACTATTTCTTCCAAAAATATTATAAGAGAAAGAACAATGGAAAAATCTATATGCTCATAACCCCATTTGTTTTTCTGATCAACTTACTATGTGTTCCAGGCATAATCTCACGACTTGTGAGGGAGTTAGTACGATCCAGCCAGATGCCGACAACAGCGATTCTGACGATTCAAGTGATGATCCTACTGAAATCCGAAGAAATTGGGAGCAATATAAACAAATCAAGCCCCTTACAATGGAGAACATTATTACCATTAATTTGGGTGGTACTGAAGATCCAAAAGAAGTAAAGATCGGGGCCAACCTTCCCGAAGAGAAGGCCACATGTTTGATAGCTCTCTTCAAAGATTATCAAGACGTCTTCGCATGGTCTTATGCTGATATGCTGGGTCTAGAACCTTAGATTGTCGAGCACAGTTTGCCTACCAATCCCGACATGCCTCCTAAGAAGCAAAGGTTACGAAGGACCAAACCCAAGCAGTCGAAAAAAATCGAAGAAGAAGTGATGAAGCTCTTGAAAGTAGCGTTCATCAAGGTTTCGCAATACCTTGATTGGGTAGCAAACATCGTGCCAGTGAAGAAAAAAGATGGTCGACTTCGAGTTTGTGTTGATTACCGCGACTTGAACAAGGTTAATCTGAAAGACGACTTTCCACTCCCCCACATAGATATCCTTGTGGATAGCACTGCTCGATTCGAATTATTTTCTTTCATGGATGGATTCTCCGGGTACAACCAGATAAGGATGAACGACAAAGACAAGGAGAAGATGATGTTCATCACTCCATGGGGGACCTTTCACTACAGGGTCATGCCTTTTGGTTTGAAGAATGCCGGGGCAACATATCAACATGCTATGGTTACTCTTTTCCATAACATGATGCACAAAGAAATTGAAGTCTATGTCGATGACATGATCGCCAAGACCAAATGTGGAGAGGACCATGTTGAAGCCTTGAAAAAGTTGTTCAGCCGGCTACGCAAGTTCAAATTACACCTGAACCTTGCTAAGTGCATGTTCGAGGCGACCTCTGGTAAGTTACTCGAGTTCAGTGTGAGCTGCAAAGGGATCGAGGTCGACCCCACGAAAATCAAAGCAATATCTAAACTGCAGCCCCCATCCACAGTAAGGGAGGTCAGAAACCTTTTGGGAAGGTTGAACTACATCGCACGGTTCATCTCCCAACTCTCAGAGACTGCACGGCCTTTCTTCAAACTTCTCAGGAAAGACGCTCAGATCAGTTGGGATAAAGACTGTTGAGAAGTGTTTGAAAAACTGAAATATATTTGATGAATCCCCCGGTACTAGTTCCGTCAGTCCCAGGACATTCTCTAACTCTCTATCTAACGATCCACAGTTAATCGTTGGGAGCCCTATTGACTCAGAGCAACCCCGACGATGGAAAAGAACGGGCCATCTATTATTTGAGTAAGAAATTCACCATTTCGAAACAGAATTATTCCGAATCAGAAAAAACGTGTGTCGCATTGGTGTGGGTGTTGCATAGGCTCTGGCAATATGCTTTGCACCACCAAATGTTTCTCGTAACTGAAAACGACCCCATCCAGTATTTGCTTAACCGGCCGGCATTGGTGGGAAAATTGGCCAAATGGCAGATTCTAATTTCGGAATTCGACATCTAAACATCGTCGCAGAAATTAGTGAAAGGTCGAGTGATCGCTGATATGCTGGCTGAATGCCTTGGGGAAACACATGAAGATGATTTCCCAGATGATCACATTTTATTGGCAGAAGAACATACGTAGACTATGTTCTTCGATGGAGTAGTAAACCTGTCTGGCTCTGGCATTGGGGTAGTCTTGATATCCCCATATGGGCAGCATTATCCTGTAGCCATAAAATTAGTATTTCCTTGCACCAACAATATGATCGAGTATGAGGCATGTATTCTCGATCTACAAGCAGCAGTTGACATGAAAATAACCAAGTTAAAAGTGTTTGGTGATTCTACCTTAATCATCCTCCATACTGTAGGTGAATGGAAGACTAGGGATGCTAAGCTTGTACCCTATCATGATTATTTGGAAGAATAGGTGAGAGAATTTGATGAGATTTCGTTTGACTATTTATCAAGATCTCATAACCAATTCGCTGATGCACTGGCTACGCTATCATCCATGTTACAGGTCACCAATGGCCTGGAAATAGAACTTCTGAAGATTGAAGTCCTGACCAGACCGGCCCATTGCATAGCTGTGACCGAGGAACCTGATGGAAAACCATGGTATTACGATATTATGAACTACATCAAGGAGTAGCAGTTCCCTGAAGGTAGTACCGCTGTAGATAGAAGGTACATAATGAAGATGGTAACAAAGTTTATCGTCAGTGGTGAGAACTTGTACAAGAGGTCCTATGATTCAATTTTGCTGAGATGTGTGGACGCGACCGAAGCAACGCGAATTACGCAAGAATTGCATGAAGAGGTATGCGGTCCACACATGAATGGACACATGTTGGCCAGGAAAATAACAAGATTGGGTTATTATTGGCTTTCCCTAGAAAGCGATTGCATTCGACATGTTCAAAAATGTTGCCATTGTCAGATTCACGGATACAGGATAAATGCCCCTCTAATTGAATTACATCAGTTGTTTGAGTCATGGTTGTCACGCCCCGCACCCTACGAGCTCGCAACATCCCGCTTGGTCGTTAAGTGTGCAACTTCCTAGGACTAGTTGCCAACCTGCTTAAAACAATAGAATCATATTGTCAAGCACAGGCACAAGAGGTTTTCCTAGCTAACTGT